CGACCATCCAACCAATTCCTTATCCACCGAACGGTCCACCCATCAAATCCATGGCTCTCCAATTTAGAGAGAAGGATGTTGTGGGGGACCACGTCAAAGGCTTTACAAAATTCCAGATAGATGACATCCATAGGTTTTCCCTTGTCCACCCTTGTTGTTACACCAATGTTGGAATTTAATTCTGCTGGAATTTAATTCTGCTCTAGAAATTGCTATGCAACAAAACATCAAGAAACTGCCACCTGGCTTGTTTTCTGGATTCCACAACAGAGGATGCACCTACACTGCACAAGGAGCCTGTCTGGCCTGGAAAACACGAATGGTCTGTGAGTGAGGACGACCTGGCGGGTTCCCAGAGCCCAGATCCCAAACCAAATTTGAAGGGCTCTCAAGGAAAATGAAAAGATTACTAACATTAAATAAATAAATATACAAAACGCATTTACAGACAATTCTGTGACATTTCTGTACTTGATTTCAGACTATAACTATTCAAGGAATAAAAGTTATCACAGTATAGAAAATACTGTCTCATAAGTGTAGCACAGGCAACTTTACAGTGACTCTGAGAACGATGTATTTCCACTCCTCACTTTGTGCATATAAAAATGTTAGAAATGCCCGAAGCACAGTTTGCTGCATTCCAGTCAAATTGTTGTTCTCACTTCAATTTAATCACCTTCACAGGCACACTTACTGAGTGCTTCTCTTTATAAATTGCATTTTAATAACCCACCTAATTGCCTTCTTTTCCCCAAACAGGTAAGTTTTTAAAAAGACAGCATCTTTGGTATCTTCTGCTACTTGCAAAATTCAGCTGAGTGCTGTAGATGTTCCTGTCTGTCACTTCGTGCAAAAGGTGGCTGAAAGAGGGAAGGAGAAAAACTGAGTAAGGCCAGAGGAGTCTGAGTAAGTTTAACTGCAACTGAAGCAAGGCACAAAGCTCTATCAGCTTCACTTTAGCCACTTCAAAAAAGTGTGACAAAACTTACCTATGAAATAAATATTTGATTAAAAATAATCGTTACAACTGAAAAAGAGTATCAAAGGGTGGATTAAAAAATGAAAGCTAAGCAAATCCGCCAAGAAATTCTGTAGGATTCATTTCTATACCACGTCTACACATTTGTATAGTATCTCTCTGCATTTCTATAGTCTGTCTATAACAGATCTTCACTGATTGTTGCATTAGAAATAGCTGGGGGGCAGCGGGGGAGGAAGGTTATTTGATTTTCAGAAGAGTCATCGTTCTATCAGATTTTGGCTATGAAGTCATTGCTTATGCAGGGTGCTATCCGAAAAACCCACCCCAAACCCACGACACTGTGCAGAGCTGCAGAGATGCAGCACCAGGATCACTGCTGGGCCCCGTTCAGCTCCTCTGGCGCTGGGGGCGGCACCTCAGCAGAGCTGTCTGCTCTCACCCCAAGCTGCACCGTTGTTGGCAGCGCCACTGGTACAGCAGTTACACAGAAATGCCTCATCGGCAAACTGGGAAGAAAACTCCAGTATTATTTATCACAGAATATCAGTTTACAGAACTATAAGGGCAGTGGTGTAGGAATGCTTTTGAATACAGATTAATTCCTGTTCCTGGTGCTTAGCACGTGCTACTGAAAACAACTCCTGCTGTTCACCAGAAAATGCAACACAGTCCTCAGTACCGGAACGTTACAGGGAGGTAGAGGTCTAGCAGGCCAGTGTTTACCTCCTGATAACGGATCATTTTGTACCTTTATCCTTGTCAAGCCTAGAAGATGTATGGAGGAAAGAAACCAAGGTTTTAATACGCAAGAGCTGCACTACTCTACTGTTCATATCGTTCTCTGGCAGCAGCCCTTACGAACAGCTGGAAGCCCCAGTGGCTGCCTCCTCCGTAGCCCTCCCAGTCAGCGCAGACACACAGCGCTCTGACCAGTTCGTACCCCTAACCCGAGGCTACGATGCCACAATCAATCCGAAAGAGAGGAAAAAAGTGTTTAAGCACTCAAATTTGTATGTTCTGTGCAAGACGAAAATGCTTGATACCATATTCTAAGACAAATATATTGGCTGTGATATTAGGTGTGATTACGAATAATTCCTAGTAACTTTTAGAGATACGTATCTAGCACTTACACCATGCATGCATTAGGTAAGCTTTATTATGATTCAGCTACAGAACAGGTTCCAAAAGCATACTGCAAAAGCTTCTCCTTGCTGACAGACTTGCTCCTACACATGCACAAACTTGCTCTTCTCTTCATTAATGTCAGTATATGATACAGACAAAACCCCTTTAGCATACATTCATCAGTAAATGTCCAAGAAGAACAAATCAATATGCCAAAACAGAATTTACAAAACCTAGGCAATTAAGCTTATTTTCCAAGGGCTCAGAAAGTACAGAACACAATACTACAATTTGTAACATTTTTCATCCTGATGCCACAGTCAATTTTTTTCTGTGAAAAAATCCAGTCAGTGCACTGAAAATCCTGAAAGCATCCAACTCCATATTGTATGGAGTCAAAATACAACACCTATGGAGGGTTCCTAATGGCCATGGTGAAGTTTTCATAGTTTCACTTTTTTCAGCCTTTTTTTAAGTAGATTCAGTGAGGTCATCATACATTTTTCGTTCACTTTCCCCAACTCATAGAATCCTAGACTCAAAATCGCCTAAGGTGAAAGGACTGATCTAAGGGTTGTACTTAACAGAGAAGAAAAAAGAATAAGAAAAAAAAAATCAATATATTCTAGAGTATTTTTATTTTGTGAAGAAAGCTTTCATTATGTCATGCCGAAGTCTGCAAAGTGGCTTAAGTTTTTATTGATAAAATGACATCTTAAATAACGTTCTGCACAATATCTAGTTCTTCAGTGATAGGTTGACTACTTCTAAGATTTACTTTGAAGTACAGAGGAAAGAATTTGCCGATTTACAGTTCAAAATGAACCTCAGCAATTCTGTTACTGTGTTTAGGTCCCTCTTTTTTTTTGAGGTTAAACAGAAAAATTGCTCAGAAAAGCATTAAAATATGTTTAAAACAAGACAAAGATCTAACTAAAACCATTGGCTAGACTTTTTTCAATGGAACGGGCAGAAGAGAGGACTTCAAAAGAACCTTTAGAAGATCTCAACACTGTTTTTCACTACGACCATAACACACATACAGAGAACTCCGATGACACCAGTGAATCCAAAGCAGCCGTCAATGCAATCATCTTGCTTGCTCCAATTCAGAAGATGTGCTTCATGTGCTTGATTCCGTATGTTTTGAAGAAAACCATGATGATCAATGCCCAGAGTCCTAAAATAAATCCTCCAGGAGGATGCCAGTCCTTTTGTTTCGGTTTCTGAAAAAAAGAAATCGCAAACAAAAAGAGAAAAATAAAGAGTTCATACTTAGTTTTCACATTAACCAGGCACTGTGTTTATCAAGTGAAAAAAAAAAAAAAAAAATCCTTGCAGTAGAGAAAAATACCAACAAGCTGTATTTCTTCATCAAGCAGAAACATCTTTCTTCCTGTTGTGGTGGCCAGGCTGCCGGGAGGTGAGCTGCCACTCAAGCAGGGAGGTTAAGCACCACAGAAAGGCCCCTAGAACTGTGCCCGAGACACCACTGTGCGGTGCGTATCAGCGCTGTGGGACATGTTCAAACTCTTTTGTTTGGACAGAGTTTCTTATATCTGGTCTCAAGTTAATACAAGAGAAAAATGCTGCAAGTATGAAAAACAGTTCCTACAAGCGAAAATGTGAAAGAGAAAAGACAGTGTTGTTTTTCCACTACCTACAGCTCCTTTTGTACTCAGATTTATGTGAATAAACAGAAATCTAGCCACATAAGAAGCCAAGATTCATTACTACAGGAGTATCATAAAACAAAATAGGATTGTTTTTAATGTCAATCACATTTCCCAGGGGCCTCATTGAGTCTAACTGCCTTTCCTTAATGTAGAAATATATTCTGCAATTCAAATACCTGTCCCTTCAACAATTTTTTCATCTTCAGTAAAGAGCAGTACACTGCAATTTGTTAAGGTCTTTTCTATCTCACACTTAGCAGTAAGACAAGATAAAACTTGTCTGTCCTCTTCCTCCCCTTATTTAAAAAAAATTCAGATACTCCATATTCAGTGAGAAATGTCTGGGGCTAAGAATAAGTTGAGGCTACATGAATGCAAAATTTAATTAAGAATATAATGACAAAACTATCAGAATTACAGTATTTAGAAGTACAACTCAGTCCCTCGTGCCTGTGCCTGCTCTTGCCCTCAGCAGGTATGTTTTACAGAGCTGCTAGGCAGACAGAGATGATTTACTACTACAATAATAAATACTGAAGTGCTTGCTGAGCTTTTTATTCCTGCCTTGCTGAAAGATTTGCACTATTTTGTCCTTGTAGAGAATGAGAGACAAGAGGCACAGAGAGTATTCTGGTTTTGTTGCATTTAAGTCAGATTCAAAATTCTCTTTCTGCCATGTGAATAACTATAGAAGACGGTACTGTTTCAATTTCTGCAGGAATCTGCGTACGGAAGCTTGTCGTTCTCCACTAAATGTACCAGGTGGCTGGTGAACTTTAATGCAATAAGGAACAGTTTGCAGCGTCTGTTCTTTCAAAACAGCTTTTCTATCAAGGAGAAAACAATGTTTGTCGATTGCTCAGCTCCCATTGTCTAAGCTACATAGTTTTAGCTTTAGGATTTTCTTGAAGTACCATGCTTGTAATTAAAAAAGTATAACAAACAGCCGTGTCACCTGAGACACCTGAAGAACTTGGCGCTCTGAAATATTAATGATTTTACTCTGCCACAGGAATCACAGAACCAGCATTATAATTTACATCAACACCACCACCAAAGCCACGAGCAGAGATGGCGTCTACGGATGTAAACCGCTCCGTTTCCCCAGCAGCGCTCATCAGCTGCAGCGTACGTGCTGTTGGTAATCTGCCACCTCGCTGATGCTCGCAGCCACACAGCTCCGCACAAACGTCTCGGAAAATCAGCTCTGCGTGTTCAAACAGGCTGCCAGCACACCTCGCCGCTGAGAGCAACAGCACGCAACACTTCTCTGCACAAAGGAACTTTCTTGTTTAAATCCTCCTAATTAACCCATAACTTCGTGTGCATATTGCAGTGCCCGTTTCATCAATCTCTTTGTACTATCAATCTTTTTTCTTGGATCTCAGACAAATTCCTTACCACAAATTGGCACCTGACCCTTCCAGACAAATGACTCCAATTTGCAGTCAGTGACACTAAAAGCCTCCCTCTCCTATTTTGTATAGAACACGTAATTTAATTTCTTTAAAGAATTTATATGAATAAATATTTATAAGGTGATCTATGAGTATGGTTTTACATTTTGTCATGCCACGTGCTGAAGCCTCTGTGGAATTCCACAAGCAAAGGGAGGCCAGTGCAGCAGCAGCTCTGCGCTGGGAAATCTAAGGACATATGCGTAGTCGGTTTAAAGCTACGGGATGCAATGTTAAAATGTGAAGGATTGAAAGCATGAAGGCATAGCAAAACACACATATGAGACTATACAAGAGCTACATAGTTAGTCATCTTAAAAACAAAGTATCTTAATGAGAAAGATTTACAGACCCAGAAACCAAAATCTACACATAAATATTACACCACAATAAAAGGGCAAAGAGATGCAACTCTATTGTACATCTGTCAGTCAACAGTAAGGTTAACTGAGCACAAAATTATATTGAAATATGCCAGTATTTTCCACTAGGGGCATGCAGACATCAAAAGCTTATGAATATCTAAAAGGGGATTACACAGATTCGTGTTTAAATCTACAAAGTATACCTGTAAGAGCTGAAATACATAATTTTCTTTAAATTAACTTAATCATACATTCCCAAGAAAGTTGCATTTTGCACCTGTGAATCAAACCCATCTACATGTAAGATGGAGTTGCTGCTTCCATAAATTACGTCTGCAAATTGTACCTGCAACACAGGCTGGCAGAGAGCTTTCAGCCGGCCCGGTTGCAGCAGCACCTCCAACAGCTCTGTCCCCTTGGCATGGCTGCGGGGACGAGCAGTGAGAGGCCAAGGCACGATGCCTTCTACCAACAGGCGCGAGCCTCTGCTGCGTCGCTGCAGAAGCTGCTTTGACTATTCTGTGCAGGCAGGCGGGGACGAGTCACAGAGATCTCTCCAAATGCGAAAAACTATTAAAGTAAGAAAGAACTGCTTTAATAGCAAATGAAAACGTTTGCTTTTTAGATCCACATACTTGAAAAGGGTTTAGAAAAGACAGATTTTCTTTCTACACTTATACTAGTTCTGTGGCCACAAGCAATCTTTATCTAAACTGTCCCTTTATGTCAATTTTAGGACTGATCAGAAAGCATCAATGAATATAAAGTTTTTCCCAGATTCCTAAAAAAAAATTTAAAAATTCTGTATTTACCCTATGAACTTTGTGTAGTTCAGGGTCTTATTCCAGCAAAATTCTGTTAGTTAGACAATTTTTGAAAGTCAGGCATTTTTCACTTGCAAAAAAATGCTAAATGGACAAAAAAAAATATGTAAGTGATGCAGTATTTTAATTTGTAATTAATTATGTATCTTTATTATGCCTAAATTGATGTGAGAATGTGTACTATTAAAAGCCACAGATTGGCTGCCGTGCTTACAAATTGCAGATCTTTTATTTGGGACTGATCTGAAGGAGCAGAGGCAATAGGTCTTTTGGCTCAAGTTGTTCTGAATTTCATTGCTGTAGTGCCCACGTAAGAACTTCGTATACCAAGTACTGCTTATCTAACCGACCTATTTAGGTTTTGTGATTTACACCACAATACAACCCCATTGTAAATGCCCTCTTTATCCCTGCAATAATAGCAGTAACACATAGGTGAAATACACATACAAAATGGTACAATGTGTCAGGAACAAATACATTTAGCAGCTTAAGGGCTAGTCATTATCGAATTGCTGGAGATTCCAAATTAAAAAGATAGGTAGCTAAGCAACAGCAAGCTTCCTCCTGTGACCAGTTTTCTGTTGTACACTCTCTAGTTCTGGTAGACTCATTATCTGGTAGAACTTAAAAACTGCTAACAGAGAGTTGCTCCAAGTACTGTAATTAAGGAGAGAATAAAACAGTGTATTTTCAAACTCGATGGGTCTGTAGGGACCCAAATGGAAAGTATCCAAGACTTTCAATGAAGGTGTTTCATAAAAAATGCAATACTTTTTATGCCAATTAAAATTAGTTTTATGCAAAAAAATAATAAAATTATTTAAGCTGAACTGGTAATCAGATTAAGAATGGTTTAATTTTAAAATGTTACATCAGAAGAGAAATAAGATTTAAATCGTCATGTACTAACATTTCACCTGGAAAACACTGTTAAATAGCATTATAATCCAACCCTTCAGTCCTCTTCCAGCAGAACTCCCTTTGCGTTAGTGACCTCAATAAAGACAAAAATATTGTAACAGAAAGCTTTGGGTTAAACTCAGCATCCACCTTTCGATGGCAGCAGTAGAGAAAGCAGTGCATACAGTCAGGAGTGCAGTAATTCCCAAATGGCAAAGGGATACGCAAATTCTTCAGTCCCCTCCAGCATTTTATTCCAAACAAGGCTTTAAGCAAGCTGGCAAAACCTTAAAGATGAACGGGCACACCACCCTTGGTGTGGGGGATGTTCTCCCCAACCTGAGGCAGAGGGTGCCTGTTTGTACCACGAGTGCAAAGTATCCCTAGGTAACTGCACAAAAATCAAACATTACAAGTGCTGTGCTATTAAAGCGGCAGCTATCGTATTTCGAACAAATCCCTGCTTGATTCCCTCTGGAGTTTCAGCACGCCCTAAGGCCAGGTTTGGCCTGTTTCTTGCAGCAGGCACGGTACAAACATCAGGCAGGGTTCGGGGGCAGCCACGGCGCCGGGGGGAAGCCTGCGTGCACCCCACTGTGGACTTCTCCACCTCTACCAGTCTGAGGGCCAGCGAGCACCCGCGGGGAAGGGGAGCACGCTCGCTGCTTTCTGTGCAGCGCTCACCGTCACTGTCGCATCATTGGCATGAATTCTGTGCGTTTGGGGCTGTAAACTTCCAAGTTTTCCTCTTGGTCATTCTCCACTTAAATGAACATTTCTGTTTCTTCCATTGCAATACTAAAGGTTTTCTTTCTTGTTTCTCAAGATACCTGATTCTACGTTAGGGTTATGTTAAAGACGAGTACTGAAATCTGGAGAAAGCAAGATCCACATTTCAAAACAGGCCTTTGAACTCCAAGGCCAACCTCAGATCCAAAACTCAAACAGCCCGCCTGCTTCTCATCTCAGAAGAAAACCACTGATCTCAAACTGAAGGACAA